GGTGGCCTTCATCCTTACTACCATTTCGGTAACGTTCACATTGTTTACTGCGGTTGGCATGATCTCTGGCTGAGTTGGCGTATCAAAGTTAGCGTGGGGGGGGGGGGGGGGGGGGGGGGGGGGGGGGAGGGGATCTGCATTTGATTGTGCGGAGGGCTGATGCTGGCTGCGGTCAACATTGGTGTCAGGTGATGAGTGGCGGTCTCTTGTGTGCGGTTGGGTGGAGGACCTGCATACTGAATCAGCTTTCGGTAGTGGGTGAGCGATTGCCCAACGAACCATTCGACGAAACCAGTTCGAAAGTCGTGTGACATGAGTCGGTAGTCGGCGTTGTCGGCCACGCACATATGCAGCCCAGCCTCTAGCCAGGACACTGGGAGGATGGCCCCTAACAAACATACGTCGTGTCAGGGAAGTCACTGCCGCTTTGAAGTCGGTAGTATTGTTACATATGTGTTTGAATCTCGTTAGTTGTCCTGTGAGCACACATGCAGGCTGATGAGCTGGAGCGTTGGAGGAAGCACTGGGATAACGTATGACAGGGAACGTCCAGTTCTCGGCCTTATCAAATACGCCAATGCGAAGTGAGCCATCAGGCCGAACCAAGATTCTTGCCCCAAGGAAAAGACATGACCCATCTTGCTTAGTAGTGTCTTTCCACTCGAGACCATACCGAGCAGGAGACGGCAGTAATGTCTTCCAAGATAGAATGTCATCAATGAATCGATACGTGAATGCATATGCTTGCGCAACACGCAGATCTCGCCGACGAAGATCATCGATGAACTGTGCTTCGTCCCAATAAAGCGTGAGGTTGGCAATTTTTGGTCTAGCGTTAGTGCCCATAGGGATACCGACCACCTGATGGCGCAGAGTGTCGTCCCTTGTATAAAGGTAAGTATTAGAGATCACAAACCGCAGATGTTGCTCTATTTTTGACACCGAGAGGGTGTCTGGCCGATGTGAAGTGACCCACTCCCCACGATGTGGACCCCCTATAGTCATGTACATCTGTACTAGCCTTCTTGCCTGTGAGATTCACCCCAAAGCATAATCATCTGCTTCACGAACAACATTCAGAACATTGTTAAGAATCCTGTCGTGTGGCAGGTTCGTGTACATAGTTGTAAAGTCCGCTATGTGTGGTGTACAACCTTGAAGCGATTGTGCATTCTACTTGAGATCCATAACGACTTCCTCAACACTTTGCATGATCCAGCAACGCCGTACACCACTTTCTTGATAAAGCTCGTTCTCCTTACTGCGCAGGGACTTAATCACACCTTGAAGGTCGTAGCTAAGTGACCGGGAGGCCATTGTTGTACTTGCAAAGGGCTTATGAGGGGGTCTGTTGTGCAGGTCCGTAACTAAAGGTCGGTGAGGTGTTGTGCAAGGCGTAGATCGGAAAAGGTTGTTTCGTTGTGCAACTCCAAGAATCGGATGAAGGGCAGGTGGAGATTTGTGTGCTTTGAGTGCAAAGTAGAGATAGGGCAAGGTGTCAATATGTCGACAGCCCCAACGTTGGTTGAAAAGTGCATGGCGTTCGAGGATGCTGGCCACAGTCTCTGATGCTTGATTGTAGGTGAAATTGTCAAGATAATGTGATAAGGTATATTTGTACCAGCGCTTGCAGCAGATTGCCATGTTGTGTGATGTTTTATCAACAGGTACTATAGCAAATTGTTGCTGTAGCTGCCGAAGAGATGTGTTGGCACACGCGAGGCAATTTGAGTAGGTGCTTGGTACGTTGACGTAGTAATATTCCGTTGGCATCTTGAAAGAACCGATGTGCGCCATCTGCACAGCTGAGAGAGACTGTCAGCAATCAGAGACTCATTATTGCGTGCTGATCTCATGGTTGCTATAAATTTAGCATTATACTCGTCCAGACCGAGTTTCAATGCTTTCATCACATCTGTGGTGTCGGCATTGAGGCGGTACTTAGAGCCTTCAAAGAAGAGAGCTCGTAAGTGTGTATCTTGTGTACTGGTGTAGTCCATTGTGGCTACATGACCATCAACAATGTCTACACATTGTGGGAATACTTGTCGACAAGGACAATTGCCAGGGTCTGGAAGAGGCATATTGCTTGTTATGCCGAGTGCCACTTCTGTAAAATTACAAAACTGGACACGTATGGGTGGCACCATCTTGTCGCAGATACGTATTTCCTTGGCAAGAGCAGGCCGTGGATGTAATTCAGCGACCTCTAGAAGCGGAAGGACGCTCCGTAACTGTGTGGTGCGAGCAACCTGATGCATGTGCATGACCTTAATGAAATTTAGGAACGGAACTCTATCATGTGCAGGGCCGCAGTATGACTGTCGAGAATACTGTAGACCATGGATCATGCACTCCAGTTGACGAATGTTAGGTGTGAGCTCAAAGTTTGAGACATTTGTTTGCAACCATTGCAGCAAGCTAAAGCGCCAAGCAGGGGTGGCTCGGGAGAGGGCTCGAGAAATAGATTGCCATTTTGAGTTGGCTGCTTGTGTAAGAATGCGATGTAGGGTAGAACGGACAACGTAGAATGGACCTGGAGTAGTATCAATCGTGAAGGGTGTGTCTGCATGAAAATGTGCTGCGGGGCGAGTCGTAGAGGATTTGGACTACCTCTCGACCGAACCCACCTGTTCGAACGATGATATCGCCTAATAGGAGGTCGTCGTCCTTGTGGAAGGACGTTGTTGAAGCCCCGAGGGTACAAGGTAGTCAGGCGCCGGACCCAAAACCCTTCACGAGGGGAAGCCACACGTTTAAATGATTCAGGATCAATGGAACCATCAACATTT